GATTTGGCGAGGCTGAGCGCCACCCCCTTCTCCCTTGAGATAGAAACCACACCGCTCCCAGCAAGCTTTCACCAGCCCAAGTTTACGCTTTATGATGGGAATAGCGATCCGTACATGCATGAAGCCACTTTCGGCAGGTCATGGCTGGACACTGGCGTAATGATGCTCTCACGTGCCTTATTTTCCCATCGAGTCTGGGCGAGTTGGGCTTGAAATGGTTTTAGAGGCTTCCGGAGGAAAGCATCGAAAGGTGACAGCAGTTGGCGGAGGCATTCGTGACTCAATTCAAAACCAACACCAAAACGCCAAAGAAAGTGGACCACCTCCTAAGCGTCAAAATGGAGTCAAGCGACTCCCTCAAAGCATACAACGTCATGTATTAGGAAACCTTTAATGAGATCATAGATTGCCCGACTAACCTGGCAATCACCCAATATAATCGTGGTCTCCTGGTCGGACATAGATTGAGGGACTTGCTCACGATGAATCAACCGACTTCCATGGGACAACTGATGCAACGTATCAATGAGCATATCCGAGTGGAGGATGATGCGGCAGCATCCACCGTGAAGAAAAGTTCAGTGGCAACGGACAAAAGAGTGGCTGGAAAAGTACACGCGGTCAGACAGGAGACAAACCGTCCAAGTGACCACGCAAGAGAATCAGACCGTGGTCCGGATCGTAGAAATCGGGGTAAAGGCCGCCGTAATGACCGAGCAGAGTATCCCTGCGATGACGCAGCATATGCGAATAGAAAGTTGAACACTTAGACGGGCATGACCACGATATTTAAGATTCCAATCTATCGCATACTTAGTGAAATCCACGACGAGGATTACGTCCGGTTTCCCGCTAAGTTAGGCGATGCGCAAAAGGGCTTCAATCCGCGGTACCGCTACACATTTCATAGGGAGCGAGGGCATCGGACGGAGGACTGTTTGCCCTTGAAGCAACACTTGGAGGATTTGGTCACAGCCAGTCACTTGGACCGTTACATCGATGAGGGCATTAGGGCCGCGCACCACACTCCAGCTGAGTTGAGTGGTTCGAATGACTTAGAGGCGCCCCCTTAAGGAGTGGTCAATGTGATCCACGGTATAGTGGAGCCGGTGCGGGTATGCGAGCTTCGAGGGATGATCAAAAAGGCGGAACATATGAGGGAAGTTTTGTCAGTCCAATCGCGATCAAAAGGGGCAAGACCGAGGAGAAAAATGTGATTAGCTTCTCAAGTAGGGACCTTGAGCGCATTCAAACGCCGCACAACAATGCCCTAGTGGTCACCCTTCGCGTCAGGGACTTCGTTGTTAAGCGCATCTTGATCGACCAAGGTAGCTCGGTCGAGATCATGTACTACCACGTCTTCAAGCAGCTTAAACTCCGGGATATAGACTTGGCTCCGACAACTTCGTCACTAGTTGGTTTCAACTCACAATCGGAGTGGCCGATGGGAAAGATAATCTTACCAGTCAAAGCCGAATCCGTGGTCAAGCAGGTGGAGTTTTGGGTATTGAAGGTGCTGTCCACATACAATCTGATCCTAGGTAGGGGATGACTTCATGCCATGCAGGCGGTAGCGTCAACCCACCACCAGGTCATGAGATTCCCCTCGGCTGCGGGGGAAGTTGAGGAGATTTGAGGCAATCAAGTCATGTCGAAGCAGTGTTTCGTGGCAGTGAATGGGAGCCGAGCTGCTAAAGGCTTCGTGCAAATGATCGAAGGTCCGGAAGACCAAAGTGTCCTTGATGACGCGGGCACTAGGGCCGAGGAAAAGGCTATTGAAGAGTTGGTGGAGGTGCGGATTGACACAGAAAGTCCTGACAAGTTCTTTTTGTTGGGATCTAGCCTGACCGCCCAAGAAAGGACCGAGATAGTGGAGTTCTTGGTGGCGAATATCGAAGTCTTTGCATGGATGCCATATGATATGTCTGGCATTGATCCAAGCTTTATTTGCCACCAACTCAATGTCTTCCCTGTCATTCAAAGAACAAGGAGATCAGCCCTTCATCATGCAGAGGTAGTCGCAGAGGAAGTCAAGAACCTGCTGGAAGCTAGGGCAATCCAAGAAGTGCACTACCCTCGGTGGGTTTCGAACACGGTCGTAGTACCCAAGAAGAATGGGAAGTGGTGAGTCTACGTTGATTACAAGACGGTCAACCGAGCTTGCCCTAAAAATAGTTTTCCTCTACCCAGAATAGACCAGCTGGTGGATCTTACAGCCGGACACAGCCGGCTCAGTTTCTTGGACGCCTATCGCGGTTGTCACCAGATCGCCATGCATGAACCTGACCGCGAAATAACTTCTTTCACGACACCAAGGGGATTGTTCTGCTACAGAGTCATGCCTTTTGGTTTGAAGAATACCGGGGCCACTTTCCAGAGGATGGTGACTAAGATGTTTGCCCATCTGCTAGGCCGAATGATAGAGGCTTACATCGATGACATGTTGGTCAAAAGCAAGTAGCAGGCCGACCACTTATGTGACACTCGAATTTTCTGTTTTTAAATTTAATATTGCAATAAATAGAACTCAAAAAAAATAAAAATAAATAAATAAATACATAATTTAGGAAATTGAGAATTTATCGATTAAATTATTAAGGAAATAAATTGTGAGACACCACACATTAAATATTTTAGAAAGTGATAAATGGTGTTTTATAGTTTGGTAGTCAGGTTTTTAGACGCGAACCTAACTTTTAATTATAGGTAATTTTAGGAATCATTATGGATAACCAAAGAAGGTAATAACCCATAGAATGGTAAAAAAAAAAAAAGGGTCGAGGGGTTAGTGTCCCTTGGACGTTTCGTGGGCTAATTATACAGGTGTTGCCACGAAGTAAAAACGTGTTCAAAAAGGGGGCGACGTGGCAACCATGAAGCTTGGGACTTGCTTAGCAAGCAAGGAAATAAGGGCTATATATAGTGAATCACTTGTGAGCTTCAGAGGTAAGGAACTCGTTCGTAGTGAAGTGAGCTTCGTCAAGTGAGTGAGTATAGCTGGGAGATTGTAGTAGGAAAATAAAGGCTAAGGGTCAATTTTAAGGTGAGTTTTATTATACCTCGAGTTACTAATATGTTTTCTACATATCTTAAGTTACCATAATATATTTTACGAATGTTTTGAGTTACCACAATTTATTTTATATAATTCATGTTTTATGGCCAGGTTAATGTTTCAATTACATGGATTATTTTCTGAACTCTATTTGTGTAAATTAAAACCCATGGATATGTTTGTTTAAATTTTAGAAATTATTTGACAATGATCTTGTAAACAATTATTTTCTGTAAATACCACCACGGGAGTCCTATGCCTTGGGGGACTTAAATAACCATAGGCCCCGTTTGACCATCTTGTGGTCCCCTGTTTGTCATGGATCCATTGATCCCTGTTCTAATTGTCACTCTAGTGACCCCTGTTTTGTTTTGTTCTGTTCTGTTCTGTATCGTGGTTATAGTTATTTATTTCAGTTTCTGCCATCTAATTAATTTGTGTATTCGACTCAAATTATGTTAATGTTTTAGCTTAAATAACTATCCATGGCTATCTTATGTCCCTATACTCATAGTATAATATTTCTCACTCTACTATGTGCTTATAGCTGTTACCCCTTTCAGGTGACGAGGTTTAGCGAGATCAAGATGAAAAATGAATCGCTATTTTTTTTATTTCTTTTTAAGATTTCTATCTGTATTTTTTTTCCTTCAGACTCTTGTAATACAATAAAGCTCAGATGACTAAGTTTGTTTCCTTTTATTAAATATTTGGCACCCAATTATTTTATTTTCATTTATTTAATTTAACCACTTGCGCTACGACTACAAACTTATTTGAATTATTTTATGTTATCTTGTTACGACGCCGAACCTTTGGGTACCGGGTTTGGGTTGTATATTTTTTTGAAATCTCCTGTACAATTATTCACATTAATTTTATTCACATTCATTGAAATTCACATTATTTGAATTGCAAAAAATAAATAAATATATATATGTTTCAAAATTTTTTTTTTATCAACCTTGCATTATTTGATATTATGTGGCATGTCTAACACAAGTAAACCATGTTATAATGTCTAGACTAAGTTTTCCTGTGTTTTAGGAAATGGCCAACCTTATGGAGTTGTTTTGGTTCGAGCCCTCCAGAGCTCATCTTGTCCCAAACTTATTAGAGGGCTGGGGTGATTCGGAGAGTCTTGTCAGGCAAGCCCACCCGGCACTTGATCGACTCATGGGATGACCCGTGTATTTGCAGGCCGACCCCGATGAGGATTTCTTGTTCTGAAGACTTAGCCGAGGCAACACTCGTGAGAGGTACATAGGACCGACCCATATCGTTGGCCTTGCTCCGGACCTAGAGCAGCCGCATTTTCTGGTCGCACCTCTACCCCTAGGCTTTGCGGAGAGGAGGGGACACGCATATCCTAGCAACCATAACCGCACCACGACACCTCTTCCACAACACGTTGTCTATACCCCAGCTGTGGACTTCACTAACAGTGCATTGTACTTGGAGGCACCGATACGAATTACCGGGCGGGAGTTTTGGGGTTATGATCACGGTGTTCCTGTTTACATAGTCCAGGTGGTATGGAGTTGTTTTGGAATAAAACACAGTGGGTGGGAGTTCGAGTCCCTCATGTAGAGTGAGTTTCCGGGGTTATTTCATGGGCCAGTGTTCCAAAGCCAGTTCTCATGGTGGCCTAACCGTCCATTCTAGACATCTGACCAGAAGATCCTTTTTGTGACCTAACCACGATTAGTCTAATCCTTATATTTTTTGTATCAGTAGGATTAAACATTAATTTTTGACGGCTAGACTAACAACAATGATGTATATATATGATGTTTTATGTAATAGTAATATGATAATAAAAACTAATATGTTATATATGAATGTGGTGATATTAATATGATAGTAAAACTAATATGTTATATATGACGTTGTATCAAAGTTGTATCAATGTGATGTCACGCTTATATCATTTTACCTTGTAATAATGGCCAATGAAGGAAATGAAACCGGATCATCAGCCAACGGTACCATCCCAATGGAGCAAATCATGGACAGAGCAGTCACCAACTTTTTGCAGGCCTTGCAAACCAGTATAGCCAATGGGACACTAGAGAGACGAGAAGAATCGACTACGATTAAACAATTTCAGGATCTGAAACCCACTACGTTTATCGGCGGTCCAAACCCACTAGTGGCAGAGGCTTGGGTTAGGGACATGGAGAAAATCTTTCGCACACTACCTTATACAGAAAGACAGAAGGTGACTTTTACCACATTCACCTTCAAAGACGATGCACAAGAATGGTGGCTTCTTACCCTAGAGAAGGAAGATATTGTGACTTGGGCAAGATTTTTGGAGGTATTCTATGAAAAATACTTTCCAGATTCACTACGGGAACAAAAGGCATCGGAATTCATACATCTAAGACAAGGAAGCATGACAGTGGCCGAATTCGAAAGCAAGTTCACACAACTGGCCCGATTCGCGACATACGTTATCCCCATCGAAGCTCGAAAAGCCAGGAAATTTGAAACAGGATTGGATCCTGAAATCAAGGACTGGTTGGAGGTTTTGAAACTACCAACCTATGCGGCGGTGGTAGATCGAGCTTACATTGCAGAAAAAGGGATTAAAGGATTGTGCTCCGGGGAAACAAGCCAGAGGAAGCGATTTTGGGAAAGAGATAACAGAAGACCCAGTGTCGCGCCTCCCAAGAGAGTAAATACGGGGACAACCAGTTCAACCAATTCAAGCAATCAAGGTCCTACAAATCCTAGAGGTGGCACCATTCCGGCTTGCACTACCTGTGGAAAGACTCATTGGGGACAATGCCGTCGAGATACGGGAGCATGCTTTAGATGCGGCCAAGTCGGCCACTTGCTGAGAGATTGTCCTAAGCTTGCCAGTCCTACAATTGGCCCCCCTGAACCAGTCGAAAACCCGCGGTACCTGGAGGAGTGAGGAAAGACCAACAACGCCAAGGAAGAGCCTTTGCCCTGGTGCTTGGAAACCCAGAAGCTACAGAGAATGTCGTGTTAGGTACACTTTCTGTTTGTGGTCGCTCAGCCCATGTCCTCTTTGACTCTAGTTCAACTCATTCTTTTGTTACACCACATTTTGCTACCAAGTTGGCATTAACACCCGAACCCTTAGGATATGTATTGTCCGTGTCTTTTCCTTCTAGTAATTGCGCCCTTAGTACTAATGTGTACAAATCTTGTACTGTATCCTTAAAAGGTGAAACCTTATACGTAGACTTAATTCCTCTCTGCATTAGTACCTTTGATGTGATCTTAGGAATGGATTGGTTAGCTGCCAACCATGCCTCTATTGATTGTAAAGCCAAAAAGGTCTTCCTCCGGTCACCACACCAACTCGAGCTTGTCTTCAAAGGAACTGGAGCCTCTCCCCCTCCATGTATTATATCCTTCATGACAGCCCAACGGCTACTAAGAAAGGGTTGTGGTAGTTATATCTGTTATGTGATTGATACTCAACAAGAGACCCCCATACTTGATGCAATCCCTGTGGTTCGAGAATTCCCGGATGTATTTCTTGACGAGCTGCCTGGTACCCCAGTTGATCGAGAAATTGAATTCACCATTGAAACCCAACCTGGTACACAACCAATCTCAAAGACCCCTTTATCGCATGCCCATGGTAGAATTGAAAGAACTAAAAACCCAACTCCAAGAACTACTGGACAAAGGCTTCATTCGACCAAGGACCTCCCCATGGGGAGCTCCAGTACTGTTCGTAAAGAAAAATGATGGTACAATGAGGCTATGCATCGATTACCGGGAGCTGAACAAAGTCACTATCAAAAATCGATACCCTCTACCACGAATTGACGACTTGTTTGATCAACTGCAAGGCGCCCAAGTATTCTCAAAAATTTACTTGCGTTCTGGTTACCATCAACTAAAAGTCAAAACAGAAAACATCGAAAAGACTGCCTTCAGAACTCGTTACGGGCATTACAAGTTTCTTGTCATGCCATTTGGCGTCACAAATGCTCCAGCGGCCTTCATGGACCTCATGAATCGAGTGTTCAAACCCTATCTTGATGAGTTCGTCATTGTCTTCATTGACGACATTCTTATATATTCCAAATCGCCAGAAGATCATTGGCACCACTTGCGAAGAGTTCTACAGACATTACGTGATCACAAACTTTATGCCAAGTTGAAGAAATGCGAATTCTGGATCACTAGTGTACACTTCCTCGGTCACGTCATTAACAAATATGGCATCTTAGTCGACCCCCAAAAGGTTGTTGCAATCATGGATTGGTCGCGACCTACTAATGTATCCGAGATTCGAAGCTTCTTGGGCCTAGCCGGCTATTACCGACGCTTTGGGCAAGATTTCTCGAAGATAGCCTCACCCTTGACCCAACTAACTCAGAAGAACACACCTTTTGAATAGACCGACAAGCAGGAACGTTGCTTCCAAGAATTGAAGAACAGACTTGTGACGACTCCTATACTAGCACTCCTCGCGGAAACAGAAGGGTTCGTAATTTATAGCGATGCTTCATACAATGGTTTGGGTTGTGTTCTTATGCAAAATGGGAAGGTCATTGCTTATGCCTCCCACCAACTAAAGACTCATGAAAGGAACTACCCAACTCATGATCTAGAGTTAGCCGCGATAATCTTTGCCCTCAAAATCTGGCGTCATTATCTCTACGGAGTAGTCTGCGAAATTTACACAGATCACAAGAGTCTCAAATATCTGTTTACACAGAAGGAGCTAAATATGAGGCAACGCCGATGGCTAGAATTTATGAAGGATTAGGATATAGAGATCTATCACCTTCTCGGTAAAGCTAATGTAGTAGCAGATACATTAAGTCGAAGGACGACCAGAAGTTTGGTATGTACCCTTGTTCCCCACAAGATTAATGGACTGCTCGCCAACGTAGTTGTGGAACCTGAGTTGATTGAAGAAATTAAAGCCCGCCAATGTGAAGATAAACTTTTGAAGAAAAAGTACGAGGAACAAGGAAGCACGTCCGATCTTGACTTCACGATAAGCAATGGGATGCTAAAATTTCATAATCGAATTTGCGTACCCGACCTTCCAGAACTCAAGAAAAAGATATTGGTAGAAGCCCATAGCTCGAGGTTTGCAATCCACCTTGGCAATACGAAGATGTATCATGATTTGAAAGAACATTTCTGGTGGACAGGAATGAAGAAAGACATAGCAAACCATGTCTCCAAATGCCTGCGTTGTCAACAGGTTAAAGCAGAACATCAAAGACCTGCAGGAATATTGCAACCACTCCCCATTCCCGAATAGAAATGGGAGCACATTACTATGGACTTCGTGGTTGGGCTATCACAATCGGTCTCAAAGAATGATGCAATATGGGTTATCATAGATCGATTGACGAAGTCGGCGCATTTTCTACCAATCAGAATCTTGTACCCTCTTACTAAGTTCGCCACTCTATACATTAAGGAAATCATTCATTTGCATGGCAGTCCAGTTTCAATCGTATTCGATAGAGACCCCCACTTCGTGTCTCATTTTTGGAACAAATTGCAAGAAGCTTTGGGAACCACTCTGAAGTTTAACACGGCTTATCACCCACAAACTGATGGGCAATCTGAAAGAACGATCCAGACTTTGGAAGATATGTTACGTTTGTGTGTACTAGATCTCAAGGGTAACTGGGATGATCATCTACCTTTGGTGGAATTCGCATGTAATAATAGCTACCATACAAGTATTGGAATAGCACTGTACGAGGCACTGTATGGAAGGAGATGTCGATCACCTCTATGTTGGACGAAAATCGTGGACATAAAATTATTAGGCCCTGAGATCGTGCAAATAACGAGCGATAAAATCCAACTCATCCAACAGCGAATTCGCACTGCCCAGAGCCGCCAGAAAAGCTATGCAGATACACAGAAATGAGACTTAGAATTTCAAATAGGAGATCATGTGTTCCTTAAGATCTCACTAACAAGAGGGGTTATCCAATTTAGAAAGCGAGGAAAGTTAAGACCACGTTTCATCGGCCCATTCGAGATACTCAAAAGAATTGGTCCTGTAGCATATCGTCTCGCGCTTCCACCCGAACTATCCAATGTCCATAATGTGTTTCACGTTTCGATGCTTCGTCGATATCTTTGAGATCTAGAGCATGTTGTCAATCATGAGAACCTAGAAGTTCAAGAAGACCTCTCTTACGTAGAGCAACCTGTACAGATTCTCGATCACCGTGATCAGATCCTTCGAAACAAGACTATACCCCTCGTAAAAGTCTTATGGAGAAACTATCGTGTCGAAGAAGTAACATGGGAAACTGAAAGTCAAATGTGAGCCGAATACCCACACCTTTTCGAAAACCGAGGTACGTCAAGTTTGGGGACAAACTTCTTTTAAGGAGAGGAGAAATGTGACACTCGAATTTTCTGTTTTTAAATTTAATATTGCAATAAATAGAACTCAAATAATAATAATAATAATAATAATAATAATAATAATAATAATAATAATAAATAAATAAATAAATAAATAAATAAATACAATTTAGGAAATTGGGAATTTATTGATTAAATTATTAAGGAAATAAATTGTGAGACACCACACGTTAAATATTTTAGAAAGTGATAAGTGATGTTTTATAGTTTGGTAGTGAGGTTTTTAGACGCGAATCTAACTTTTAATTATACGTAATTTTAGGAATCATTATGGATTACCAAAGAAGGTAATAATCCTTAGAATGGTAAAAAAAAAGAAGCCCCGAGGGGTTAGTGTCCCTTGGACGTTTCGTGGGCTAATTACACAGGTGTTGCCACGAAGTAAAAACGTGTTCAAAAAGGGGGCGACGTGGTAGCCATGAAGCTTGGGACTTGCTTAGCAAGCAAGGAAATAAGGGCTATAAATAGTGAATCACCTGTGCGCTTCAGAGGTAAGGAACCCGTTCATAGTGAAGTGAGTTTCGTCAAGTGAGTGAGTATAGCTGGGAGATTGTAGTAGGAAAATAAAGGCTAAGGGTCAATTTTAAGGTGAGTTTTATTATACCTTGAGTTACTATAATATGTTTTCTACATGTCTTAAGTTACCATAATATATTTTACGAATGTTTTGAGTTACCACAATTTATTTTATATAATTCATGTTTTATGGTTAGGTTAATGTTTCAATTACGTAGATTATTTTTTGAACTCTATTTGCGTAAATTAAAACCCATAGATATGTTTGTTTAAATTTTAGAAATTATTTAACAATGATCTTATAAACAATTATTTTCTGTAAATACCACCACGGGAGTCCCATGGCTTGGGGGACTTAAATAACTATAGGCCCCCGTTTGACCACCTTGTGGTCCCCTGTTTATCATGGATCCATTGACCCCTATTCTGATTGTCACTCTAGTGACCCCTGTTCTGTTTTGTTCTGTTCTGTACCGTGGTTATAGTTATTTATTTCAGTTTCTGCCATCTAATTAATTTGTATATTCAACTCAAATTATGTTAATGTTTTAGCTTAAATAACTATCCATGGCTATCTTATGTCCCTATACTCACAGTATAATATTTCTCACTCTGCTATGTGCTTATAGCTATTACCCCTTTCAGATGACGAGGTTTAGCGGGATCAAGATGAAAAATGAATCGCTGTTTTTTTTTATTTCTTTTTAAGATTTCTATCTGTATTTTTTTCCTTCGGACTCTTGTAATACAATAAAGCTCATATGACTAAGTTTGTTTCCTTTTATTAAATATTTGGTACCCAATTATTTTATTTTCATTTATTTAATTTAACCGCTTGCGCTACGACTACAAACTTATTTGAATTATTTTATGTTATCTTGTTACGACGCCGAGCCTTTAGGTATTGGGTTTGGGTCATGACAACTTATCCGACCTAGCCGAGATGTTCACCATTCTTAAACAATACAAGCTTCGCCTAAATGCGTCGAAGTGTGCCTTCGGTGT